GTGACCCCTGTCTGTCTGCCTGCAGGCTGTCCATCTCGGCCGTAGTGATGTCATACCTGCAGAACCCCCAGCCCATGTCCCCACCCTGGTAACGAAGACCAGACATGGAGAGGCTCCGAAAAATAACCGAGCCTGGAGCATCAGGACCCAGTCCAGCTGCGCTGCTGCCCAGACACCTGGGGAGGGAGAGGAGGGGGAGAGCTTCCTGATAGCTCACTCGTCAGCCCTTCCTGTCACTCCTCAGCCCTCTAGACCTTCTTCATCTCCTTCACACTCTCTCTCTCCCTTTCTCTCTCTGATGATTTTTTATTTGCATTGTGAAACATTGGACAGTATCTGGAATAAAACCCACAGATTTTAAATATTTTTCAGAAATGTTCACTGCTCTGTCTGTCCCCTCCGTTGTTGTTTTAAGTCAGCAAACTGTAGCAATCTTATAGTGTACCAGACTGCTGTAGTAGTTCAGGTGGGTAGCTGCGTCAGCATGCGTAGGCTGCAAAGGAACAAGTAATAGGTTTATTCCATGCTGAAAAAAAAAAGAAAGAGAACACAATGTTTCGGCCGTGGAGCAGACTGCTGTAGTCTGCACTGGGCCAACTGCTGTAGTCTGCACTGGGCCAGACTGCTGTAGTCTGCACTGGGCCAGACTGCTGTAGTCTGCTGTAGTCTGGACTGGGCTAGACTGCTCTGCACTGTACCAGACTGCTGTACTCTGCTCTGAACTGTACTAGACTGCTCTGGAGTATTTATGTCCTTGACACCAGGTGTGGCTAGGGTACATGGATTTACTGAAGATTAATTGGAAAAATGAATTCAGTTTTTCATGACTCATTCATGTTATGAATTTCTGTTTAGGTTCATGTATATATATTTAGTGTAGTTTTTGCTCTCCCATCTCTTTTCACTATTAAGATCCCATTTCCTTTCCTACTGTGCCCCCAATGTCACTTGGAACTACAAGTGACTAGAGCCTGGCCACTAGGTGTCACTGTCACCCCACTCTTCTCTCAGCCTGAGTCTGGAGGCCCAGATCTCTCCCACTCGCCTCCTCCAATGCGAGTCTGCTCGCGGGCGTCCTGCGCTGGTCATCGCCTGATCGTCCACTGGAGCGAGCAGCAGAGTGAAAACAGCTGTGAGAAGGGGCCCGTGTCTGCGTGTCACCGGACACCGGTGAGACCTGTGTTGTGTTCCACAGTCCACCAGAGGCAGGGCTGCATGATCACGGTGAATCCGGGATCGGAGCACTCCGGACCAACAGCACGCCCCAGCTGAGGCGAGAGGCCGGAGCGGATTCCCTGGAACGGCTCGTGAAACAGCGGGAAGAGACCCTCGGAACGAGAGGATACTGTCATTCAGATTAACAAGACAGGCTGAATAGAGGGAGCTCCTTCCCTGACCCCATGCCAGGTGACCCCAGCAGCAGGACCTCAGGTCTGGGGACCCCAGGAGAAGAGCCTCAGGCTGTGACCCCAGCAGTGTTGCACCGCTCCTTCCTGGAGGGCAGCTGGTTGTGCGGAGAGGCTTGGGGGGCCGAAGGCGATGATTCTGCTCGGTGACGGCAGATGAATAATTACTGCAGCCCAGGGGTGATTAACGCAGCCGCCGGCACAGGGGCGCTGCGCTGACCTAGTTTAGCAAAGTTTTATCCTGTGATTCTGCCAGATGGCGGAGCGACCCAGAAACAGGCCCACAGGCTGGATTGCAGAGGGGACCCCGGGGGCTCAGAGCTCGGGTTCCAGGGGTGACCCCGGGGGATCAGAGCTGGGGTTCCAGGGGTGTCTCTGGGGGCTCAGAGCTCGGGTTCCAGGGGTGACCCCGGGGGCTCAGAGCTCGGGTTCCAGGGGTGTCCGTGGGGCCTCAGAGCTGGGGTTCCTGGGGTGTCCGTGGGGCCTCAGAGCTGGGGTTCCAGGGGTGTCCGTGGGGCCTCAGAGCTGGGGTTCCTGGGGTGTCTCTGAGGGCTCAGAGCTGGGGTTCCTGGGGTGTCTCTGGGGGCTCCAGGACAGGAGCCCAAGGTGTTTCACCGGTTGTTTAGAGGAGGAGCTAACAGTTATAGCAAAGGGAGTAATTGCAGGAGAGAGTGATAGTGAGAGAGTAACAATGAAAGGGAGTAATAGTCAGAAAGTAACAGGGTGAGTAATACTGGGAGGGAGTAGATCAGAAGATAAGATCACTTTA